TTAGGATATCATGTAAATAGGAAATAAAATATTATGGAATTATTATAGAATATTATGTAATTACTATGGCATTTATGTCTCCTATTATATATAATGAGCTCCGATGTGTAATTCAAACACACGGATTCAATCCAACCTTCCTCTTGTTCTCTCATTATTCAACATGGTATCTAGAGCCTAACAAGAGGCAACCCTAATCCGTGCTTTCCCGGTAGATCCACTATCTATCGGCGCCATTTTTTTTTCTTCGGTAACCGTGCTTCATCTCCGGTTTCCGATATTCCTTCTCAGATCTTCCTTTTTTTTTTTGGTCACTTCTCTCACCGTTTTTGGAATCCATGGCCGCCGTTCCCCCTCCAAGGGCTGAGGCCCCTATTTTCACAAGTTATATCACTACTCCTCTTGCCGTTGACAAATTGGACGGTACTAACTATGATTCTTGGGCTTCCGACGTCAAGTTATGGCTTCGGGGACAGGCCTATGAAGATCACCTCACTACGAAGGCTGACTCGGTGGCTGCCACTGATAGTGCTCGTTGGAAGAAAATTGATGCTCAACTCTGCAGTCTCATTAAGTCGACTATTAGTCCATCCTTGAAACAGATCTTTCGTTCTCATGAGACTTGCGAATCTGTTTGGGCACAGGCTAAGATCCTTTATACCAATGATACACAACGCTTATATGGAGTGTGTCAAAATTTGCAGAATATTATTTCCCCTCGTCACCTGGATGGTTCTATGGCTGAATACTTGGGTCGTGTTCAAGGTCTTCTTCATGATTTCAATGAATTATTGCCCCCAGCTGCTACCACTGCTAAGGAACTTGAACAACGTCGATCCTTCTTCATGCTTCTAGCTCTGTATGGCCTACCTCCAGAGTATTCGTCTGTTCGCGATCAGATATTGGGGTCTCCTACAATCCCCACTCTGGATACTGCATGGTCTACTTTGCTACGTGTCCCAGCAAAACCATCATCTGACGGCGGAGTCCCACCCACACCAGTTGATTCATCTGCTTTGGTTTTTCAAGGAGGTAATCGTGCTCCGGGTGGTGATCGTGGCCACTTTCAGAAGACTGGAAAGCCTCGTCCTAAGTGTGATCATTGTCATAAGCTTGGCCACACTATCGATCGGTGTTATGCTTTACATGGACGTCCCTCTCCTCGGACTGCCCACGTTGCCCAGACCGCTCCACCTCCACAGGCTGCTACTCCGACTGATTCTGCCACCTCACCTGCTATCTTTAACGACTTTATCAAGTGGTATGAGGAGCGTCAGGCCGCTAGTTCCACTGCATCTGTTGCGCACACGGGTAATTCTTTTGCTGGTCTTTCTCACTCCACATCTCTTGGCCCATGGATCCTTGATTCAGGCGCCACTGATCACATTACTGGTAATAAATCTCTTTTTTCTTCATTCTCTACTTCTGGTTTATTACCCTTTGTCACATTAGCAAATGGCTCCCAAACTCAATCTCAGGGTACTGGTACTATCCACCTTTTTCCCTCGCTCTCCATTACTAATGTTCTTTATGTACCCGGATCTCCGTTTAACTTATTGTCTCTAAGTCGTTTGACTCGATCTCTTGATTGTACTATCTCATTCACCAAAGATTCTTTTTTCTTGCAGGACCGGAGTTCGAGACGGATGATTGGCACCGGATGTGAGTCTAATGGTCTTTATCTTCTTCAACCATCTGCACATGTTGGTTCCGTGGTGGATTCTCCCCTCCTGGTTCATGCTCAGTTAGGACATCCAAGTCTTGCAAAGTTACAAAAGTTGGTGCCCAACCTTTCCAAGTTATCTACGTTATCTTGCGAGTCTTGTCAATTAGGAAAACATGTTCGTAGTTCTTTTCCGAGTCGTGTCAATCGTCGTTCTAAGTCTCCGTTTGCTCTAGTTCATTCGGATGTTTGGGGTCCTAGTCGCATTGTTTCCACTTTAGGGTCTAAGTATTTTGTTACCTTCATTGATGATTATTCTCGATGTACTTGGTTATTTTTAATGGAAAATCGATCGGAGTTATTTGCTATTTTTCAAACATTTTATAATGAAATCAAAAATCAGTTTGGTATATCCATTAGTACTTTGCACAGTGACAATGCTCGAGAATATTTATCTACTCAATTTCAAACTTTTATGGCTACTAACGGTATGCTTCATCAAACGTCTTGTGCTCACACACCACAACAAAACGGAGTCGTTGAACGTAAAAATAGACACCTAGTTGAAACCACTAGGACACTCTTACTTCACAATAATGTTCCTCAACATTTTTGGGGTGATGCTGTCCTTACGGCTTGTTATCTCATAAATAGGATGCCATCATCTGTCCTCAACAACCAGATCCCTCACTCTATTCTATTTCCTCACCAGTCTCTTCACCCATTACAGCCTAGAGTCTTTGGGTCTACATGTTTTGTCCATAATGTTAGTCCCGGGCTAGACAAACTCTCAGCTCGTTCTCATAAGTGTGTGTTCTTAGGCTATACAAGATCTCAAAAGGGATATAAGTGTTACTCCTCGTCTCTTCGTCGATATTTCGTCTCTGCTGATGTCACATTCTTTGAGTCAGTCCCTTACTTTGGGACGTCTACAGGGTCTGAGTCCCTATCACCCATGTTTTCTTCATCTCCCACTACTGCCCCACCAAACGTAGTTCTGTCTCCTTTACCAGCCAATCCACCCCCATTAGCTCCTTTGCAGGTTTATCGGCGTCGACCACGGCCACCTCCACTACCATCAACTAATGCAGAAATCACCATAGACTCCCCTCCGGATCCAACTCCTTCGTCCCCTCCGGTCCTGCCCCCTGAGACTGATCTCCCAATTGCACTTCGCAAAGGTATACGTTCCACTCGTAATCCATCTCCTCATTATGTTAATTTGTCTTATCATCGCTTGTCTTCTTTGCATTATGCTTGTATTTCCTCTTTGTCTTCTGTGTCTATTCCCAAGACTGTAGGTGATGCTTTATCTCACCCTGGCTGGAAACAAGTTATGCTTGATGAGATGTGTGCTCTTCAGAACAGTGGCACGTGGGACCTTGTTCCTCTTCCTCTTGGAAAATCTGGTGTAGGTTGCAGGTGGGTTTTCACAGTCAAAGTTGGGCCTGATGGACAAGTTGATCGTCTCAAGGCACGTTTAGTGGCCAAAGGTTATACACAGTTGTTTGGCCTAGATTATGGTGACACCTTCTCTCCCGTGGCTAAAATGGCCTCGGTTCGATTATTTCTCTCTATGGCAGCTATTCGCCACTGGCCCCTTTACCAGCTTGACATCAAGAACGCATTCCTCCATGGTGATTTGTGTGAGGAAGTTTATATGGAGCAACCTCCTGGGTTTGTTGCTCAGGGGGAGTCTTCTGGACTAGTTTGTCGTCTTCATAAGTCTTTGTATGGACTTAAGCAATCTCCTAGGGCTTGGTTTGAGAGATTTAGCACTGTTATTCAAGAGTTTGGTATGACGCGATGTGAAGCTGATCATTCAGTGTTTTATCGTCACTCAGTTGTTGGGTGTATTTACTTAATTGTGTATGTGGACGACATTGTCATTACAGGTAATGATCATCATGGAATCACACAGGTAAAACAACACCTTTGTCATCATTTCCAGACAAAAGACCTCGGCAGACTTCGTTATTTCTTGGGCATAGAGATTGCCCAATCCAAACAGGGAATTGTGATTTCACAAAGGAAGTATGCTATGGATATTTTGGAGGAGACATGTCTGTTAAATTCCAAGCCAGTTGACACTCCGATGGATCCCAATGCTAAACTTATGCCAGCTCAGGGGGAGCCACTCTCCGATCCTGGAAAATATAGAAGATTAGTTGGAAAACTGAATTACCTCACTGTTACTCGCCCAGATATTTCATTTCCTGTTAGTGTGGTAAGTCAATTTCTTAACTCTCCTTGTGAAGGGCATTGGGAAGCTGTGATTCGCATCTTGAAATATATTAAAGGAGCTCCAGGAAAAGGCTTACTCTATGAAGACAAGGGACACACTCGAGTTGTAGGATACTCAGATGCAGATTGGGCAGGTTCTCCTTTTGATAGGAGATCCACCTCAGGTTATTGTGTTTTCTTGGGTGGTAACTTAATTTCCTGGAAGAGTAAGAAACAAAGTGTAGTGGCAAGGTCAAGTGCGGAAGCAGAATATCGAGCCATGGCAACAACAACCTGTGAGCTTGTATGGCTTAAACAATTGCTTCACGACCTGAGATTCGGGGATGTTTCACAAATGACACTTATTTGTGACAATCAGGCAGCTCTGCATATTGCATCAAATCCAGTGTTCCATGAGAGAACCAAACACATTGAGATTGATTGTCATTTCATCAGAGAGAAGATTTTATCTAGAGATGTCAGCACTAGTTTTGTCAATTCAAATGATCAGTTAGCTGACGTTTTCACTAAGCCTTTGAGAGGTCCTCGAATTAATTATATTTGTAACAAGTTTGGTGCATATGATATATATGCTCCAGCTTGAGGGGGAGTGTTAGATATCGGAATATTCCATATTATGTAAATAGAATATTCTGTAAGTAATTAGGATATCATGTAAATAGGAAATAAAATATTATGGAATTATTATAGAATATTATGTAATTACTATGGCATTTATGTCTCCTATTATATATAATGAGCTCCGATGTGTAATTCAAACACACGGATTCAATCCAACCTTCCTCTTGTTCTCTCATTATTCAACAGTATCTTTCATTGTTTCAATTAATGAGAAATACAATCTTGTTCAGTAACTTGTTTCTATGATATCGGATCCGGTTCATGAATAGTCAGATAGGTTCATGAATAGTCAGATAATCACTCAGGTGATTAATTTAGATAGTGAGTGTTTGCCGACTAGTCATTTATCACTATTAACTGGTTTAGTAGTTAATTTTGCTTAAACATTCCTAATCAGAACTATTTTCATCAAGAATTTCATTTATATGATTTTACCAACCTTTTTCTTTATGATTTGAGTCCCTCCAAGGCTTCAAAATTGCCAACCAAATAGCTGAAAGAGAATAAGAATGTTTAGGAATACCTTAGGTGCTACCATATAATACACGCTATTGTCAACTCCTCTGAAAGAAATAATGGGACCCTTTTCATTCCCTTCAGCTGTATGATTGAAAACAACATCCATAATAACCTGCTCCAATAATATAGCAATGAAGTCACAATTTAATCTAAAAAAAGAAAAAATAAACTATATGCAAAATTGCTTACCTCTATTCCTCGCTTGTGCGCCTCTTTGATGAGGAACTTAATTTCATTAATCCCATCACGGCCACAGTTTTGTGTGCCAGCTGATGAGTATCTGATCATTGGTGAAAAGTAATTGATGGTTGAATACCCCCAAAAATTGACCCTTTAAGAAAAATGAAACAGGTTTATCATATACTTGACATAAAACTAAAGAGAAGTCAAAATAAGAATCATACTGAGCCACAAATGTAGAATAACATCCAATTAGTTCATAATTTTATGTAAGGCATCAAGGGTTAAAATGACAATGATACAAATAAATGGCTAACTGTGATTAACATCCGACAAAAAGATCATACAATCATAAGTCATCGATAAGAATGATAATGATTTCATCACCAAATGACTCTCTTACCTATAGTCCCCTTGTACAGCATTGTAACTGTAGTATTCCAGCTCATTGAACTCATTACATGGCATTAGTTCTATACAATTTACTCCAAGCTCCTGCAAAAATGAATAATGCCAAATGTAAACAGTTTCATCACGAATTTCAAGTCTGTTTTATATAGTAATGCAATAAAGTGGAAAAACAAATAATGTAATCCCATGTTCATGAAAACCATTGTGGATCCAACAATAACACAGGGCATGAAGGCTAGGAGACTCGATTGTCCAAACATATTGATGGCAGTATAAGTCAGGTCGGTCTCCTTCTGATTCCTCGATCAAGTTCACTTACAACCATGCACTGTGATTATATGATATCTCGCGGAAGAAGAAAAGATATTCCTTTTCCTTTCCCTAAACAAAAATACAGTATGAGTCTTTCCATGATTCCATCTACCACTGAGGATTTCATCACAATCTATTTGATAAAAAATATTATCATCAGAGAAATACTAGTAGCTTTTTTAGAGGACGCAATTTCTTCAGTGGAGAGTAAGCTTCCTCTTTTGATAAACTACTTTTCAACCCGCAGAATAAAACATATAGAAATCAACATTTTGTATTACCAACATTAAAGGCATCAGTAAAAACTTCACAAGGATCAGTTGAAGTCATTTTAGAAATTGATCAGAAACCTCACCTTTAAGTGATCAAGCTTCTCCACTACACCAAGATAAGTACCGGGGAACTCAGTCTTGCTCGACTCATGCTTTGTAAACCCTCGCACATGCATTTCATATATAATAAGATCCTTTTGTGGATATTTCAGCGGCAAGTCTCCTTCCCAATCAAACTAAACACATTGCGTGACAAGGAAAAATGAGTTAAACACTATACAGTCTTCAAATTAAGAATTTAAGCAAATAAAAACAGCTATAAAAAAAAGTACCTCCTCATGATCAAAAGGTACCATGCCAGCCATTTGAGGCCAGCAGTTACCATCAAGTCCAACAGCCCCAAATTCTCCTCTGCTTATAACAGCCTAAACAAATCAGTAGCATATCATAATCATAAGGTTCTACACAGCACAAACCATGCATGCAATAATATATTTCAAAGAAAAAACAAATTAACTATATATAAGATTTTCTCGTATGACTAACTTTTGCATAAGGATCAAGTAAAACTCGAGAAGAGTCATAGTAATGTCCTTGTTGAGGAGAAAATTTGCCATCAAATTTGTATCCATAGAGCATATCTTTAAAATCTCCTTTCACAAAAACATGCCAAACACATCCAGTTTTATTCACCAACGGATCAAGCGTAATGTACTCCGTCACTTTATTCTGCAAGAAAAATCAAATCAAAAATCAAAAACCCTAAAAACACGGAGAAGTTTGAAAATGTTGAAATTGAATTGAATTACAGACATTTTTGAAATCCGAAAGAGTGAACAAACAGAGAGAAGCAGAGTGTGCATTGAGAGAGTAAACGGCGAAATTGACGCCGTCCTCTTGAGCAGTAGCACCGAAAGGAGAGGGGTAGCCTCTGGAAACTTGGAATTGAGGCTTGTCGATTTCAACAACCGCGGTTTCGGTTTCGGTTTCAACGCCGACGCGGTTTCCGATAGCGGAAATCTTGTTGGAATTTGACTTGGAAGAAATGATGATGGAGATTCTACTGTGATTGTGATAGTGAAGTTGGAGCAAGTTGGTTTTGTTGATGAGAGAGAGTGTTGTAAAGTGAGAAAAGAAGGTGTGTGGAGGAGAGAGAGAATGCATTGCCATGTTTGATCAGAAATGAAAGTGAGGATGGAAAAATGGGAATGGATGCAATGCAGGTTTTAGGAAGGGGTGTGAGTGTGTGTGAAGTCTGGTCATTTAGTCTCTTGAAGAAGCTATGTTAGCAGCTTTCTGAATGAAAGAGACAGACGGTGCTTGTTGTTCTTTCGCGCTTTCTCTTGGCCCACTCACTTCCTGCTCACCTTTTTTTTCAACCGTTAATTTCTTATAATAATAATAATAATAATAATAATAATAATAATAATATTGTTATTATTATTATTATTATTATTATTATTATTATTATTATTATTATTATTATTATTATTATTATTATTATTATTATTATTATTATTATTATTATTATTATTATTATTATTATTATTATTATTATTATTATTATTATTATTATTATTATTATTATTATTATTATTATTATTATTATTATTATTATTATTATTATTATTATTATTATTATTATTATTATTATTATTATTATTATTATTATTATTATTATTATTATTATTATTATTATTATATTATTATTATTATTATTATTATTATTATTATTATTATTATTATTATTATTATTATTATTATTATTATTATTATTATTATTATTATTATTATTATATTATAATAATAATAATAATAATATTA